ATTTGAACCATTGACTCCATGCTATTGACTAGCTTGCCATTTACAAATCACCCCAAAACCTAAAGTTAGTTTTGTACCTTTACCTAACCTATGTTGTTGTGAATTCTTCATGTTCAGAGACATTTGGTTCAGAGACTTTTAATTTAAAACCACAACTCTTATTCTGAAAGTACAGAGCGGTTGTTTTCCCTGTTTTTTCGTGCATTTCTCTATAGAGGCCGATTTCCACACACCCCAGTTTCAGGGTTCAATATCCAACATTTGTTATATTATTTATTTTGCAGATATGCCAACTTTATGCTTATCCCATGCAGTTTATTGCATGTGGTCTAGTGTAAAACTATTTGAAAAGAAATGTTTGCATGTTAACTAAATATGAATTCAATATTTAAATTTGCCAAAGCAAAAGAAATCAATTTTAAAAAATGAAAAGGAGTGTGTCCATCAACTAGGCCTACAGTTATGACAACGATTTGGATTTGAAACCAATAATTGTGTATGTTGTGATGAAACTGAAATCAATGATCATTTTTCCAGTGTATTCTGAAGCTTTATGCTTTCTTTCTTTCTTTTTACATACTATTTACAGAACAATTTGCACTTATAAATAAGCAAGGCAATGGCAATAGCGAATAATATATACAGTGATTATGATCAAACATATACAAATATAAAAAGAAAAACATACAATAGAAATAAATATATATATTTATACGCATCTATACATAGACATAAAAATAAATGTATATGCATCACTAGTGGCCTCTGCACAGGGTAGTCCCCGGCTCTTTTCCTTTTAATTGGCTTTTAGCTACTGTATATCTGCTACTATAGCTATATTGTGCATTGTCCCAGCTAAGTAAACACTAAATAAATAAATAGATTATAAATAGATTAAATATCTTCTCTCATAATGTATTGTTTACGGACTTGCCATAGGACAAAGCAAAGTCTATCTGGCGAACAACATTCCTATTCTTTGTAAATCTGATTGTATTCAAAGTCATTTAAAAAATAAAAAATAAACTTCCGGCTAGGCAGGACCGACCGGAAAGTAAATCGGCTTTCCGCTTCCTGTCAAGAGAACCGCTCTACTACATCGTATCATGTAAGCATTAACAGTTTGAAAAGAACACGCTGAAAAGTGTGTGTTGCGGGGATTGTTGCTTTAATATAAGAAGAGGTCGGTGTTTTCCTGCACAGCTATTAGAATCCAGGGCTCTGGCTAAAGACAGTTCAGCCAGCATACATACAACGGGACTTAATCTCTGCTGACGTTAGCTAGCAACCGTGGCTAAGCTATCTAAATAGGCATTTAGCTAGGTAACGTTAGTTAGCTAACGTTGAAGCCCGTTTACAAGCACAGTCTTATCATTACACTGCAACCATCGATCAGAAACGTGCCTTGCCTTTGTTGTATCACCTTGTATGCCAGAGTCGTAGTGAGGTAAGTTAGCCAGATGAAATATATATTTCAAGTTTAAACAGTCTGAAGTCAAACATGGTAGAATCTGCGCACTTTAAAGCGCAAAAACGCCTGATGAAGGAGAATGGTGTTTTTTATCGGTCAACCCTTAAAACTCGTTAAATAACGTTCGCTTATGAAGTTAGTCCTTAGGTCCCGACCTAATGGGACTGTCCTACATAAAGCTAGCTAGTACAGCCGACACACAGAGGGAACCACCAGTTTCTTACAAAGATAATTATCAAACGAAGTCATTGAGAAACACTTACCAATGCTCAAAGACTCATTCCACCCGCTGCATGACAACAAGCAAACCTGTGCAGGTAACCGGCTAGCTGCCCTCTTTGTTTAAATTAGCCAGGAAGGTTACCTCTACCATGGTTAGAGATGTGAAAAGGCTTTAGGGGTTTTCAGGAGTTATTTGTCTGAGAAGCACTTTGTTACTAGGGCTGCACAATTAATGCAAATGTTGTGGAAAATGCAATATTTTACAATATCCAAATGGCAGAAGCTGCCATTTGTTTGATTAAGATAAAATGTATGACAAACAGCATTGTAATGAAGTGCTGCCCACAAATCTTGTTCTCCAGATGTACATTTTATTTGTGATGCAAAGTGATCATTCCCACTAACTGTGAAACATCGCAACCACAGTGTCTGTCAGGATAATCGCAATATGACGTTACCAGACCATGCAGCCCTAGTTATTTGTCAGTGAAACACTTACTCACTAGGATTCCAAAGTTTATTGAAATTTTATAAAAATCGCAACATTTTTTTTTGATAAAGTAAAATGTGTGACAAACAGCTTTATAATGAAATACTGTAGTGCTGCAGAGATGCCCTGGCCTACATCGATCTTATTCTCCAGATGTAAGAAAACATGTTTGTTTTGGTACAGACCCCAACAAATGTCAAATCATCATGACTTCACAATTTTTTTACCTGGTCACACACAATCTCGTATTACCGATAAACAGTTCACTAAAATAAGTTTCTTAAATAATTTTAAGTGAGAAATAGTCAACACAGTAACCGCACAAGGTAGCCATGACCTAAAGCATACCCTGCTTTATCGTCTATTTCACTCTAAATTGGACCATAATTTACTAAATGAACACAATAATGTATTGAAGAAGATGTGAAACTAGAGATTGAGACCATAAACTCATTAGGAAACTGTTCACTGAGCCCTGCTGGCCTTTACATAGAATGCAGGTTTAAGACCCTTCCGGGTTGGCTTCACTTTTCAGACCCGGAAGCTCTGTCCATTATATATACTGTCAATGGTTTGTACATCCACATCCTGTTTTTTGGCATAGAGCTGATTAGATCTGTGCACAGTGACTGAATTAATTCCAACAAGTAACCTTTATCAAGTTCAATTTCTCATGTTTACAACAAAACAAAAGTCATGAAAATGTGTTGTTAAAGCTGCAGTTGGTCATCAAATGTTTTGTCATATTTGACAAAATGTCATTATACATGAGACAGATAATCTATTAAAGAAAAACGGACTATTTTTCCATTCATGTCATATGTTAATGCTAACTTTCCTTTTAGCTTCTTTGTTTTTTTAATTAAGGGAAATAGTGTCATTTTACAACACTAGATATGACATTTGTGTTTGGTTTTGTGAAACCCAAAAGTGTCCAATATTAAAGCTGCAGTAGGTAATTTTTATGAAAAAAAACCTTCTGTCATATTTGACAGAATTTCACTATATCCTGACAGTAGTACATGAGACAGATTATCTGAAAAAATCTGCTTCCTCTGGCTCCTCCTAGTGCTCCTAATGCAAGAATCCACTGGGCCCCAACGTAAACAACCAATCAGAGCCGAAAAAGATAGGAAGACAGTTTGGGTTGATGGCTTAAGGATAGTGGATTGTATAATTCCCAGCACTGATATCTGACAATCTGGGAACGGGACTCCACAATTGGCAATCTTTCTCGGCTCTGATTGGTTACACTTATTGGTCACTGTAATCATTCCTGCTTTCCATACTGTCTGTGAAGAGATCACTTCATAATGCACATATATCAATTATTCTGTAAGGACTAATTTTTGTAGTATGCACAGTAGAATTTTGCAATCTATTCATTTTTATTTACACAGACTGACAAATATCTTTACCTTTTAGGATCAAATCTGAAAGGTTTCACGAGCATTAACACCCAAAGTACTTGTTCCTCTGTGTGTCTCTGTAAGTAGTAGTAGTAAGTCTGTTTAATGAACCCTTATAGTGGTTTTGCACTGAAATAAAAGTTCTGATATTTGATCCCTGTCTCAGCAGAATGCCAAAATCAAAGGAAGTTCTGTCTTCCACATCTGGAAGTGACTCGGACAGTGAAGTAGAGACCAAGGTTTGTGCTTTGATACTACCTTTTGATTGCTTCATGTACTTTGGATATGTCTGAGATAGACAGACAATAGTAGGTGTCTGATAGTTTAGGGTCATAGCGTCTGCTTCAAAAGGTTCTAGCTCTTGGACAAACAGAAAATAATTCAGGCCTAATTGGCCTATTATTATTTTATATTTTCACTTTATTACAAAATAGATGTTATTTTTATTAGCGTATATCATTGTGGACAGACTCCTGAAAAACCATCCATAATTCAACTTTTACCTAGGAAATAGGTGATGGCTAAAATGATGTAAGTGCAGAATGTAGTCCTGATTGATTAATCATCTTTAACCATTTTTGGTGCTATTGTGCAGTTGCACCGTTATTGTAAACTGCACAATATAACTAGAGAATCCAGAGATATTATTGCCCAAAGATATGATCCAAATAGGATGATAACCATTTTAAATACTGTCTGACTATTTGAGTCACAGATTTCACTTTTGAAGCATATAGCACAGTTCCAGAATGTAACCACTTTATACTGCTAGAATCCAGAGTTCATGTTATCCTCACACGTCCTGGAAAATTTAGGAACTTGTTTTCCAGTCATGGTAATGAATTAAAATGGCCAAATACCCTGGAAATAATCTATGTTGTCCTGGAATATTGTAATTGCTTTTTATCCCTTCAGTCAGATCACCTATGTAAACCAGGGTTTGAGGAAGCTGTAGTGAACTGTAGTTTAAATAGATACTGCAGAAAAATTGTTTGTTGTAAGAAAAGTGGAAAGCAAGCTGACATGTCCCATAAACACCTACCTGTATGACCCTGAGACACTCATCATGAAAAAAGTAAGGAATAAACCTGGGGAAAATGTGTCAATACTACTACCAGTAAATTATATAACTGTTTGTGAGCAAGTGTTGTCCTGTATTGTCAAGAAAATGTTGTGGAAGAGGATATCTTAGAAAGAGAACCCTGAGATAGATGTGCAATAAAAGAATCTCATAATGTGAGCAACCATGGTCTGATTTTTATCATGATTCTGTGAACAGTGAAAGTAGTTGGTTAACATTACCTGGATGTTCCTCTAACAGCTAACTGTGGCTGCTTCTGGTGCCATTACTCCCTGACATATTTACAGCTGATCCACTGTCAAAAAACAATAATGAATGATAGCATTGTCAAGCTCACTGACAAGCACATTGCATTTCCTGTGACTACTTCAGAATAAAAGTCAACTTGTGTTTCTCCAGTGAAACACTTTTAATGTGAAGCTGCAGCAGTAGAAAGTGTTCAGTTTGCATTAGCAGTACCTTAATACAGCTTTTTTTCCTGTGAATTTTACCACAGATACACAGTTTGTAATTCTATATTAAGTATATTGAAATGTTTTGATCAGTGGAAGACCCACATTTCCAGGCCAGATGGCATGAAAAGATGAGCTACTGTTTTAGAAATTAACTGGTGGTTTGATTTAAAAATGTCAAAGGTACAACACTGAAGGAGCGAAGTCAGGTATAAGGGATGCAGGGATGAGTATAGCTAGGAATTTATTGATATCGTTACTGCTCATCAGCACCAACATAAATATGTGAATAAAATCTTAGTGCAGTTAGACACAGTGCTCCCTTTCACTTCTTTATACCTTTGTCTATTTTTTAATTATTTTTTTGTAGGCAAAGAGAAAGAAGTCAAGCGCACCGGAGAAACCAGCCAAGAAACCAAAGAGCGGAGAGAGTTCCAAGCCAGGCGGCTCATCCAAGGGCAGCAGTAACAGTGACGACAACATGTTTCAGGTGGGTATCACAGGTATAATCTAGTTTCAACTAGGAATTTAATGATACACTCAACTCATGATTCAATACAAATCTCGATTCTCGACCAGACAAAAATCTAATCTTCTCTTATATTTCTTTATTAAATTAAATAGTCTTTTTTTAGTCTGAGTTATGCTAAACAATGTTTAAAACAATGCATATTTCCATATGAGGGAAATATTCCCCATACAGGGGTAGCTCTGGCTCAGAGGAAGGTCGTCCACTAATCAGAAGGTTGGCAGTTCAATCCCGGCTCCTCTCGAAATGTCCTTGAGCAAGATACTGAACCCGAAACTGCTCCTAATGCTGCGCATCGGTGTTTGAAGGTGTATGAATGCTTAGTTTCTGTTTGTGATGAGCAGTTGGCACCTTGCCTGACAATGCATGGCAGCCACTGCCATCAGTGTATGAATGTGTGTGAATGGGTGAGTGTAGCATGTAGTGTACAGTGCAGTGAGTGGTCAAAAGTACAGTCTATTTACCATTCAATTGAGACTGAAAATATATCACTACAGAAAATGGCTGCTATATAGTAAAAGCTCTGAAATAGTCAAATTTGTATAGCAAATTAGTGTATCTTAGTTTGTTGTTATTCTTCAGTAAAAACAAGCCCACATACTGCAGGGAGAAAGGTGGCTTTAGAACATAACTGAAACATTCAGAAAATAACATTTTATTACACTGCTTCGTTCTCATTAATGCAGCTACCTCTCTTCATTTAATCTTGAGTTCTCTTGACCATCGCAGCTCTCTCTGCCTGTAAAGGCACACCTTCCAAAGGGTAGCCCTGTTGTAATTTAGAGGCAAATCCTTGCCAATCCCAACTGCCCAGCCAGCACATGTGCATGGAAAAGGGCTAATAAGCTACTTGCAGACTACCAGGTGTCCTCGGGCACCACATTGGAGACCTCTGCCTTAAATATTGTAACTTCAGTTTTTGTGTAGATAGAGTTATTGCTTAGTACTATTACCTAGAGCCGCGGTCTGTCCGAGGTTTCTGCCTCTTAAAGGGGAACTTGGCAACTTTTTCAGCTTAATAAACCCGTTTAGAAATCATTTGGATG